TCAAGAGAAGGAGGAAGAGGAGGAGGAGGAGAGGGGAGAAGAAGAAAAAGAAGAGGACATGAAAGGACAGGGAAATAAGGGACGAATCAAAGAAAATCTAAAACATTGGAAACGAGAAGAATCGGAAAAAATTAACGTTTGAATGGACAAGGGTAGAAACTGGGACAGAAAGACAAAGAAGAGGGAAAAAGAAAGAAAATAAGAAAGAGAGAAAGGTATATGATAGACTAACGGGGAAAAGGGAAAGAAGAAAAATGTGAAAAAGAAAAGGTATATAGTGAAAACGGTACATGGAAAAGACGGGGAAAAAAGAAAGAAGAGAACGTTACATGATGGAAAAAGAGAGAAAAAAGAAAAAATAAAAAAGAGAGAAACGTTTATGATGGAAAACGGGGAAAAAAGAGAAGAAAAGACAGAAAAATAAGAAAAGAGGGAGAACAGGAAATATGATGGAAATACGGGGAAAAAAGAAAGAAGAAAAAAGAGAGAAAGGTATATAGTGGAAAAGAGGGAAAAAGAAAGGGAATAAGAAAAAGAGAAAGGTACATGATTGAATAACGGGGGGAAAAGAAAGAAGAAAAAGAGAGAAAGGTATATGGTGTAAAAGCGGAAAAAAGGAAGACATAATTTCAAAGAGTTGTTAGCTGAGAATTAGCTGAGAATGAAGATATAATTTCAAACCAAAAATACAAATAAAAATTAATTTTCATTTTTTTATCAAAAGAACCATGAGAAAGAATTTAATGTTATTCAATTATCCGGCAATAAATGTATCTTTTCATTCTAAAACTTGGGATCAATATAAGTCGACAAATCTACGAGAAGTTATTGTTACCTTGTTCACAATGCCATATATAAGCCTTAGGACCGAAGTAACCAGAAGTGTACGGATTCGGTAAAAAATGGAAGGATGGGGTGGAATCTCTATTCCTTAAACGTATCGGAATTTCTTTTTTTCAGGTGGTTTTTGAAATGTATAGAAAAACGTCAGCCTGCAGCAGGTAGGTCTCATTCTCTTCATCTCTACATTAATATGTCAAATTGTCAACTGGCAACCACACACACACACATACACAAACACACAAAAAATATATATAAGAATAGAGGAAGGAAGAAATCACAAAAATATACATGGGGACATAAAAAGATAGGAACCAAGACATCCTCCCCTCTTTCCATTTCTCTAACCAAGTTTAATTATTTTATTACCCATCTATCTTGGTTCAAACATCAAAATGATTCTTTTAAAAATTCGTGGCACACTTTCACTATTTTAAGTGTGGCTGGTTCACCACAATCCTCCATCTTTTTAACCACATCATCTATCGCTTCAGTTCTAACAGATTTGTCAGTTGATCATACGACGAAATCAACGGGAGAGTGCATGTTACATAGAAATTTATACACAGAATGCACAGACAAAATTATCTGTTGTTAGAATCCAGTCTGAAAAAGTAATCTTTAATCAAATCGTGTTAAAAGTTTTATTGAAGACGGATTTCTTTAAGTTACACAAAAAGATCAAGTATGTAAAGTTGGTTATATGGAATATTTCAAAAATTATATTCAAATATAATTAATTCTTAAAGATTCAAAATGACGAAATTACAAGATAAACGAGTCAAGATTTATTTTACGTTTTTTCCACTTTTGCTATCAGTTATCCGTTTAATTATTGCCTAAAGAAGGCATGTCCAAAGTCGGCCCCGGGGATGCAATTATGGCCCACAGTTAAATTTCATATGAGCCCCATCCTCTGTTATATAATGTCTCACTTACGGCCCGCCAATGTTTTCAATCAGAGTATGTAAAGTACACACTTAAGAAATGCAATTTCATGTTTTACAAAAAGATGCAGCAGCACTGTCTGGTCATCTTCTGGTGGTGTGTCCCTTACCTTGACCTTTTCCAGCCAATTTCTAAAATGGCTACCTTTGAACTAAACCTGGCCTACATACCGTAGTCTAGATCTCAGTATCACCCTTCACCTTAGTGAAGGCAAGTTATTTGTTTTGACCATCTGAGATGAATAAATTCTAAAATCTTAATGAATTAAATTTGTTTTATGTTGGTCAAAGTCAGTTATAAATTGTTGTGGGGCTCTCCCCTTTTTACATAAGATGGACTCATCCAAAGTATACTTATACTGACAGAGAGAATACCTGCTGTTGAGATCCGTCGAGATACAGTCTCGACGTCTGTCGAACTCTCTGCTTTGCCAGAGAGGAACCCGGACGAAGCTTTGCCGAAGGGCAAGGTTTCGTCCGGGGATTTCCCCTGAGGCCCTGAACCCGTCTAGGCGGGTTCAAAAGGGTATATTTATGGCCGAGCCTACGAGCTCGGAGAAACCCACTTTAAACTCGGCCTTGTGCCACATATATTCCTCGTGGATGGGATATTAGAGACCGAGATACGTTGAGATACGTGGAGACAGGTTGAGAGATACGGAGACAGACACAGGGTGTTCTCAGAGAGTTATACAAGAGTCCAGAGAGAGAGAGAGAGAGAGAGAGAGAGAGAGAGAGAGAGAGAGATGATGATTATGGCTTTACTTATACATGACTTGTACATATACTTTCTACTAACCCGCATTCCTGGACTACTAATCTTCACTTCAAGTCTGTATTCTTACGTTAATAGACTTATTTTTCTATCTCAATTACTGGCGTTGTTTATTTATTTGTGCAGGATTCCATTCACGGAATCTACAACAGAAATATAGTTGGACACTTGGACTTGTGTCATTTTATGTTTTCTACTTCTTAATAAGATGAATGTTGGCGCTATATTTCTGTTCATATGAATTTAACTTTCATTAGTCGGACTATTGTCCTCATCTTTGTCGCCATATTTGTCACAACGTTTCGGCCGTTGTACGCTCCGGCCTTCTTCAGGTGGTTGGAATTTCGAACTGAACCCTTTATTTCGATCACTGGGGTAGACTGTTCTAGTTCCACGTGCCATGTTTGATCGAAATAAAGGGTTCAGTTCGAAATTCCAACCACCTGAAGAAGGCCGGAGCGTACAACGGCCGAAACGTTGTGACAAATATGGCGACAAAGATGAGGACAATAGTCCGACTAATGTAAATACTGTACATAATACCAGACAGACTCTGAATTTAACTTTAAGTTAAAGACAAGATTAATTACCAATAATATGTAATATAGCTTTCTGTAAGTTCTTTTTTTTTTTCTCTCAGAGATATTTTACTTCATTTTATATGGGCTTCAGATATGAAAGACTGGGGTATTGTGGTAAGACCTGTTTAAATTTATTTGTCATCCATGAGAAGAAATGAAAATATGCTATTTGCAATAAAATTTTCATAAGATAGTTCATTTGCATTTAATTTTAATAGTTCAAAGAATGATAAGCAGAATGGTTGGCCCTCATGCATATACACCTAATCAAATATGGCCCTCTTTGAAAAATGTTTGGACACCTCTGGCCTAAAGGATCTGTAAAGAAAGAGGATGAAATAAATAAAAGAAACATTAAAAAAAGAAATGTCACCATATCTTCTTCATCAACTTTATCTCCTCTCCAAGAATTTAATTTCTTCCTCTCTGATCATCATATCTATCATTGTTATTATAAGGAATGTTTTGAACATTTATAGGGTTAAGCGCCAATATTTATTTATAAATAAATCATAACTAAATTGCAAAAATAATTAAATATTTTTATAAGAAGTTTCGTATTTTTTGTCTATATTCTGAATGAATATTTGCAAAGGATACCATATACAAATTAATAATAGACGTATGAGAATTCTACTCCCACTCTTACCTCTTATTTATTCTACCATTTTCCGCGTTTTATTGCTTTAATTATTTTATTTCTCGTTGGTCGATTTTCTTTCTTCTAAATCTCTATAATAATAGATTTATTGCATTTTTCGCGTAAACAGTCACCCTCATTTGCACAAACAATTTTATTATGCAGCAATCGTTTTTTCTTGCATTAACCGTTACAATATATGTCAAATTATCATAATTTATTTCCCAGAATTTATAAATATTTATCAAGTTCTAAACAGATACATGATAAAGTTATAAAAAATCGCAATGATATAAACTTTAAAAAATCGTGTGTTACAGATACAGTATTATTACGAAGACGCAGCAGAATATATTAAAACAATGGTCCTGAGTTACGGTGTTAGGGTCCCAACTATGGGTAAATAGTGAACCCCCAAGCAAAAACAAAACATTATGAAAGTATAAAAATGCATTCTTATAGTAAAAATACCGGCAATACATTTTTATATAAAAAATACCAACAATACATATTTATAGTGCAATTACCAGCAATGCATTAATCAGCATGAAAAATCTTTCATGCATTAATCAATATATCCTATAATTTCTTAAATCAAACTGTATTCTTAAATATAACTTCAACAAAACACGCAATGTCCACAAAAACAAGTGCATGCACAAAAGCTGAGCATCATCTACCATGTATTCAATTGTGAAAGCAGAATAACTTGTATCATATTTTATTACTTCAAAGCTCCGAAGAAAAGTAAATTTTCGCATTAAATGACCCATGAAGGAGTTGATATGACGTTCAACAAAAAAATTTAAATGTAATGTCAATCGACATCTTCTGGTGTCTTGATTTTGAACCCCGCCCTCCTCTTTACCCTTTCCTCAAACACCCCTCTTTACTCTTAATTTCACTCTCTGCAACCCCTTGCGTGCAAGTAGTACTCCCATCATGCTTGGGGTGAAATTCTTAAAAGAATTAAATCAAAACATATTCAAACGCGCATTTCTATGATTGTCGACATATATTTTTACAAGATATGAGGTAATTACAAGAAAAGATTTACTAATGTGGACACTTTAATCTTCCCACAATTCGCCCTTGCATGGAGTATTGCTGCCATATATGGTCTGGCGCCCCTTCTGTTTGCCTCGGGGTTCTTGATAGGCTCCAGAAGCGGATATGCAATATGGTTGGCCCTGCCCTGGCGTCTCGTCTACAGTCACTTTCTCACAGACGCACCGTCGCCTCCCTCTGTCTGTTCTACAAATACTTTCATGGAAATTGCTCCGAGGAGCTGCATTCGCTGGTTCCCAGACTTCATGAGTTCAAGCGCCCTACGAGACTGGTATCCCGCTCTCACTCCTTCACTATCGAAACTCCTAAATGTAGCCGTCTCTTCTACTCTAATAGCTTCATGTCTCGCACCTCTCGCCTGTGGAACTCTCTTCCCTTCTCCTGTTTCCCTGTGATTTATAATCTCCAGCTATTCAAGTGTAATGTCAATCGACATCTCCAGTTGCCTTAATTTATCTACTAACCTCATCCTTTCTTCTATCACTCCTATCTGATCTTCCTATTTTCTGTAACCCCTTGCGTCCTAGTGGCTTCCCGCCTTGCTTGGGGTGAAATGCTTAAAAAAAAAAAAAAACTTTTATTTACGTCGTATAAATCTATATAACACATTCTGATTCGAATTTTACAAGTACACAAATTTATAAATGAGTTCTAAACAGATTTATTTATTTTTTCTACTTCGAATAAAACATTTTTATTTGTCTCCCTTCATTCGGTTTGATATCAATTATATATATTTGTTAATCACTGCACATGACCATTTCTATCTCTTATACACCGTACCTATGGACACTAATAGGTATGCCCCAATCCTCATAAATACACTATTGTAAGTGGGTGTAATATGATGTCTAAATAACCCACCGCTAGCAGTGGTTTACCTACTTCACGCCGTTGGCGAGTATTGTATTTCGTTGATGTTCTAAAGATTACCATTTCATTACCAACCTCCGTTTTGGTTATTCCTCATTCAGTAACCTTTTCTACGTTACAACGCTACTATGTTTACGTTTGAGTTTCAAATAGACGAGCCGGGATGATTATTCTTTTAAGGAGAAAATTTCACTCGGGGCATCGCTGTTGTAATTTCCAGTTTTATTAATTAATCGGATGAACCTCTTTCTCTCGAATGCTCGCAACCGAAACTAAATGCTGGGAATATTTAATAAAAGGGGAGGTTGGAATAAGTATATCCCGGGTGAATTTTTCTGTAAAGAATTAGTGTTTCAAATAAAACGACCCGTGTATTGAAACTCAAAGTTAATTAATGTCAGTGCACATTTACGCAATATTTCCGGCTTTGAGGAAAATGCCTACATCTGAAAGCTCTTACTCATTATAAATGTCGGGTATGTAGAAAGTCCTGCTCCTTACGATAGGCTGGCTCACATGGTTCAATCTAACTGTTATGGCGGAAATTGCACAAACCAATCTAATAAAAAGATTGCCTCGTTTATCGTAAATGCTGGCGATTTTTTCGATTATATTCGGCAATTAAGTCCGAGTAAAAATATCATATGTCCAGTAAAAGTTTCAGTGGTCACTTCGGTAAACCTTAAGTAATCATCTCAGCAACGCAAAGATTACTCATCATTTCATATCAAAACATATTTGGAAGATACACATTAGTAATACATGAAATCGTCTTAATGAAAGCGCCATTGCTTCTTCTTTTTTTTCTTTTTTTTTTCTTTAATAAATTCCTACCAATTTCTGGAGAGCCACTCCTGGTAGAGTTTTACAGTCAAAAGGCTAATTATAATGAGTTGTGTAATATGAATAGAACAAAAGACGCTATGGAATTAAGATTATGAGGATAAGAAGGATAAAGAGTTCAGTTCGACATTCCAAACACCTGAAGAAGGCTAGAGCGTACAATGGCCGAAACGTTGTGATAAATTTGGCAACAAAGATGAAGACAGTAGTCCGAATAGTGTACATAATACAATATAGAGAAATATAGACAGATACTGAAGAAAGATAGGTCAAGAATGTCCCGGAAAGCACCTACGCGGAAGCCTGTCCTATAAAGTAGCAGTTGTGGTGGGGAGTTTTTTGAGTGGAATTTTCTTCCTATATACAGCCATTAACTGTAAACGTGTCAAATACTGGAAGAAAAGAATGGAGTTCATCTGAGCATTTGTCATGGAGCCACGACAGGTTTGCAAATTTGCGTCTGTGAGAAAGAGGTTGCAAAGTGAAAAAATAATTCTTCCTCCACAAGCCAAGGCTGCAAAGTGGACCTCTTCAGCCTAGTGTTGTAACCTAAAGAGTTACTGAATGACGAATAACCAAAACTGAGGTTGGAAATTAAATCGTAATCTTTATAACATCAACAAAAAACAATACTCGCCAGCGGCGTGAAGTAGGTAAACCACTGCTAGTGGTGGACTACATAGACAGCATATTACCTCCACCACTTACAATAGTGTCCAATGTATTTATGAGGACTGGGGCATACCCATTAGTGTTCATAGGTACGGTATATAACAATAGATAACAATGTGAGATAGATAGATAGATAGATAGATAGATAGATAGATAGATAGATAGATAGATAGATAGATGTTGTAACCTAGGAAGGGTTAGTGAATGAGGAATAACCAAAACTGAGGTTGAAAATAAAATAGTAATCTTTATAACATCAACAAAATACAATACTCGCCAACGGCATGAAGTAGGTAAACCACTGCTGGTGGTGGAATACTTAGCATATTATCCCCACTTACAATAGTGTATTTATACCTATTAGTGTTCATACCCATTAGTGCTCATAGGTACGGTATATAACACCTAGATATAGAAGCAAATCCCCATTTTGGGCCAATTATAAAACTTGTGAAAACAAGGCATGTCAGAATCTACGACTTTGAAAATAGAACAAAAAGAGCCAATACGTAGGATCACTAAATTGAGCTTCAGTAAAAGCTCAATTTAGTAAGGCTAACGATTTTTCAGGGCGTTTTCAGTGTCGTGCCTGACAACCGTTAATCACTGACGGCGACATAATGAGAATTTGTGCTGAATGTAATCCATTTTAAAATGGCAGATGATTGTAGTAATTTTTTATCACAAAAAATACTTCTTTTCATGCACCACACTGACAAAAAAATTTTTTCTGAATGAATATTTTTCAAAACTAGAAAGCCTTGATGTCTTCTAACTCTTAGATTATACTGAAAACATATCTTTTGTTCTGCTTTTCCAACTATAACAGTATATCTTACTGGATTTTTTTTTTTATCCATTTTACTTTTTTTACACCTAGATTGCAATTCTTACTTGATTCCTTATTGTTAAACATCGCGCGACGTAAAGTCTCCAAATTTTACCGCCAGCCCCAGATGGACTTGGCCTCTTAGTGACGCGAAGCATTTTTCGTTGAAGTCCTTAAATGAAGAAAGAAAAAGTTTATTAAATTGCAAGAGCTGGTTTAACAGAAGTTATTAAGTTCTGCATAAATCCTTTTAAAATCAGAAAAGCATATTTCCTGTTATGTAAACAGCTGTTATGTAAGCATATTTTAAACGTAAAGGTTTTGCTTGGGTGTTTTTAAAGTGATTTAATGCAACTCTACTCGGGTCTGCAGTAAAAAATACAAAAATCGGGACATATATATTCACCTATTCACACATGTGCGTGTCTTGCACAAATTAATCTAATAGAGTGAGAGAGATTCAGTCAAACGTAGAAATCAACACTGCATCGTCATTGTCAGTTTCACTTTTGTTTTATATGTTTCTGGCGTCCCATACGATGTCGGAAAAGGGAACATCGGTCATTCCCACTTTATTTACTGTAAAGCTATCTTCGATTTTAACTGATTGCATTTTAGGTAATGTTTATTGGACTTGGCTTCTGGGTTATTATTTAGTCAATTTAGTTGCAATATCCACATTGGAAATGAGATTTGATCTTTTGTTTATAAGTCGGTTAATTTGCAGTTTAACACCCACGCTCAGTTCGGATTAAAAATTTCCAGAATACATTTTTTTTTTTTTTTTTTTAAGCTTTTCACCCCAAGCAAGGCGGAAAGCCACTAGGACGCAAGGAGTTACAGAAAATTTGGAGCAAGGTCAGATAGGAGTGATAGAAGAAAGGATGAGAAGAGTAGTGGATAGATCAACGCAACTGGAGATACAGAGGCCAGTGAGAGAGAGTACCGGAAACCCCTTCCTAAACAAGAAACAAGGCGTAAGCCTCTACTCATGTCCAAGAGAAGGGGGAGGAGTGTGGACCAGGCGGTAGGAAAGCCTACCTACTAGGTGTAAACGTACGTGCTTCTTTGGAAAATGAGTTGAGAAATTTGATAAAATCTACCGTTTTGGAGTTATCAACTGTAAAAGTTCGAATTCAGGCGTTGTTTGCATACATTCGCTGCGGAATAGCTATGAATAATATTCACGTGTCTTAATTATTACGCATTCAGCATACAATTGAGCGTTTGAACGTAAATGCTTAAAAAGGAAAGTCCGGTTACATTTTCTATACGCTCATTTTTATTGCTGTATAATAATATTTGCCAAGCTCATTCTTCCTGGGAATGACGATAAACTACATCTGGCAGCAAGGCCTCTGATTGGGAGATTGAAGGTTTTGAGGAGCATAAAACCATCACTTAATTGTTGTTGTTCCCATGTCCACCTTGAGCCGGGCTGGTAGCAAATATGCGTAAATACTGCCCCTACACACAAGCTGAAATCAACAGTACATTTTTATAATGAAATGAGCAACAATACATCTTTATAACAAAATGATAATCAATCCAACACAAAAAAAATAAAAATTAAAAATGTATTTTTATAGTAAAAATACCAACAATACATTATATGATCTACAAGCTATATATAAAAAAAAACAAAAAAAAAAAAACAAAAAGGCCTACCTTTAACCTAAAAGAATAAAATTATGTACAAAATATTTGTAGTTGAAAGCATAAAATTACGTACAAAATATTTAGATTTCACTATTAAATAACACATAGAGGTCGATATGCCGCTAAACAAAATCAGCCAACCGACCAAACCCATAATGTCAACTGTTGTTTGTTTTTTCTCCCTTGTTTTCAAACTATTACTTAATCCTTTTAACATTATGAATTCATCCAACTCGTTTTCATTTTGATAAACGAGCCCCATTTGAAATGTTTATCACAAAGATTTCGTTTTATTCATTCATTATTTTGTATATGTTGCATTATTTTATCACTCTTGATTTGCTTATTATACACTGAAAATAAACGACTCTAATTGAAGGCTGTCTATTTATGCAAGCCTTTTCGCGAAATGACAAGGAAAATATTATTAGAAAAATGCTTTATAACCATAATTTTAAAGGAGCGGTTTTCTCTGTCATCTTCGAAAATTAGATCTTTTGGATGAAGAAGGTATCCTCATTTTATTCTTGCTTATTTATTTTTATAAAGCCGTTTAGTTCAATGTATTATGATGTCTTCATTTTCCGGGTATTCAAACAAACATTAAATTCTCCAAAATACTACAGAAATAATCCCTTAACTATTGCCAATAATTGTTATTGCTTCTATGCACATTTTCAATAATCGTTTGCATAAAAATTAATCTTAAGAACTTTTCTTTATACGAAGCTCTAATAATTTCATTATTTATCAACAAAGATTATCCAGACTGTTCCTTCTTCCGCTCACACTAAAAATCAAATATAACGTACAATCTATATAATACATATACGCTCGTGGGTTTGTAAATTATGTCTCTTGATACTCACAGCAAAACATTATTTATTTATTATTACTTTTCGGTACCTGAAAAATTCTTTTAACCCTAATTTCCATATAAATAAATGCAATTTCCTAAAATCTTTCTTAAAATATTTAGAAGTTTGAGAAGAAGCTACAGCATTTCTTAATAGAAAACTGAAAATTATAAAAATATATATATATATATATTCATTACCAGAATTGTCGGATTCAATACAAGAAATATTTGGATATACACAATGGCAACGGCATACATCTTTTAGAGACTGATAAATATTTAGTATTGAAATAAATATTTGAAATGATGGTGATAAGAAAAACAACGGGCATGAAAACAAAATTTTCAAATCTCAAATTCCATTTTATAATGTTGTTGCTAATAGGGATATTGTTTATAGAGCGCAGGTAAATAAGCTAAGATTTTATCTAAAACAAAAACAGCGCAAATAAAATAGATCAATATTTGTACAATCTTTTGAAAAATTGAAAAAAAGAAATGCTTAAATCTAAGATCTTGATTTTTTTCTTTGATCTCTAGCAAATTGCAACTGTGTATAACTAAAAAATATAGAAAGGTTTTTGGTATAAATATGAGCAAATCACAATCGATCTTTTCTTCGAAAAAAATTATATATAATGCTAATGTTCTAATATCAAAACTCACGACAAATAAACGCGAAATCTAAGAAAATATGAAAGAAATAGGAATGGAACGAAGACGTTTTCTTTCAGGCGATTTAGTAGACCCAACCCCTCACGGAGTCAGGTTAGAACACAAGGTCGGTTTAACGTGGGAAACCCGAGCGCGAACACTCGGTCAAAGGACAAAAATTCCCCGAGCTCCCACAACCGTCGGTTGCGCTGGCCTCAGTGTGAGCACCGATCCCTTTCTCTAGTGCAATAAGAAGGTGCATCTGTTCCCCAGGGCTGGTCACCTCACAGTGTGATTTTCCACAGATGCGACTCTGTTCTTCGACAGAGCCACAACTGAGTCGCACTCAGCCCAAAGACAGAGACGCAACTGAGAGATGATAAAAACTTACCTGACATTTTCCAGGTAAGTAGAGATTTACTTGACCCCCCCACCCCTCACACACTCACCCTGAGTCAGGCTGTGACACAAGGTCATTTTTTTTTAGCGTAGGGATCCGAGTGTTTTCCACTTGGGCCGCTGGTCTAAGCTGATCATAGCTTGTCCGAGGTAGTATAAGCTAGGCATAGCTGGTCTTAGCTGGTCATAGCTTGGCCAAGCTGGTCAGAGCTCGTCTAAGCTAATCATAGCCAGTGATACCCTCTGACATGTGCCAAGAAAGTAGAGATTTACTTGACCACTCCCCACTGAGTCAGGTTGTGACACAAGGTCAGTTTTTAACATGGGGACCCGAGAGATTTCACTCGGGCCGCTTGTCTAAGCTAGTATTATGGTCATAATTTATACAAGCTGGTCAGAGCTGGACTAAGCTAGTCATAGCTGGTCTTATCTAGTCATAACCTGTCGAAGATGATCAGGGCCGGTCCAAGCCAGTCATAGCCGTGATACCACCTACATCCCTGTGCCAGGTAAGTAGATATTTACTTGACCTCCACTGAGTCAGATTTTTCGGGCCGCTGATCTAAGCTGGACATAGCTTGTCCAAGCTGGCCAGAGCTCGTCTAAGCTAGTCAGAGCCGTGATAACACCAGCATCATGAACGGAGTCCTGTAAAGGTAAGTATAAGACCTTTTTTTTCAGGAATTGTCAGAAATAATTTACCTTTTTGAAACCAAAAATCGATCGAAAATGAAAGGAATCTTATAATTGAACAAGGAACGACAATTTCTAAAACTCCCTGTCTTGGAAATGTTAAAATTTCTAAATAAACAACTTAAAACAGTTGAGTTGCGAATTTTTAATTGTATAAATTTGTAAAATTGGAAATATAATGTGTTATGTACCAGTTGGTCGTTTCCTATATCACACATTTTTCTATCGTTTTCATCTTTGAAATGTTTAATCTATCAGCAGGTATAAATGTACCGTTAAAATAGTTACTTTTGGTCCCTTTCAAACGATGTCCTTAAGACATTAATATGGCAGCCATTTTTCAGGGAAATAATTAAACCCTTTATAATCAACACCTAATTAATTTATTTATTACCAAACTCTAATTACGAAAAGGTAACTCAAGTTGACTTATTTTCTTCATAGCACTCAAAAGACTTTGCGATCAAAATGTGAATTTAGTTCATCTTGCATTTATCAGCAAAAATGGTCCTCATTGCTTCAGTCAATCTTTCTTCTTACTTTTGTACGCCGTGTTCTTTCAGTATATGGGCGATAATAATTCGCTGCCATTTTTATGATGGAGCGTCATCATCTAATGTAGAAAACATGACAGCTTCAATGTATTTGAAAGCTAAACACTTTTTTTTTCTGCAGTTACTCGATAACACCGTGGTTTCAAATTTTCACCATTTTCAAAAGAAGCCGCTACTAGTTACCTTCAACTAGTAGTGATTTTCTTGAAAATAGAACAGTCAGATGTAAGCTTACCTGAAGAGAAACAATGCAGTTATTAATAAGAAGAGTTGAAATTAATAAATGCAAGATTTCACAGCTCTATCATCACTCCTTCATAGTCTGCCTATAGACTTTTGT